TGTAAACAAAAACACATATTTATTGAGATTTGACTTTATCATGTTGCCATGTGTTTGGATCACTTCATGTTGCTGTTTCTGGTCGGAAGTTATCATGTACCAATGTGTACACTTAACAAGGGATGTGCATTTTTATGACTTTAAGAAATAAACACGTTTATTTAAAGTGATACTGATATATAGTGATAATATTTGTCAACTATATAAAAAACATAGTATATAATTATATGGCATTTATATACCGACATTTACAAAAACATTATTTACGAAAAGTGCCGGCTGAAACGGATTTATTTTTGTATGTAATTGGTGGATGTTACCCGTTTCGGAATGAAACGTAAATTGTTAATTTGCATAATTATCGTCCACTGCACAGGTAAAGCCCCGGTCACATATTCACGGATTATGCCACGGAAGAGCTACGGTCTAATTGTTCACGGATTACTACGGAAATGTGAAATTCCGTAGTCCGCTACGGTTCCAGTACGGAAACACAACGGTATGAGTACGGAGTTCGACGGATTTACCACCGAAAGCCCCGGGATAGACACGGATTGTTACGGACTGACACGGTTTGATACGGAGCGACACGAATCAGGACGGACGCACTACGGATACACTACGGTCTGCTACGGTGTAAGCACGGGTTAGTACGAGTAAGTACGGTCTGATACGGAGAAGAACGAATTGATACGGAGAAGAACGAATAGCCACGGATCTATACGGACCTATTATATCCGTCCACAACCTCTTGCATGCTCAATTTTATAAAATGCCTCACAAGAAAAGAACACAAAAAAAAACGAATTGCAGAGTTCAATGATTTTGGCGGAGAGGATTCGGCCTCATCGCGTCCGATCCAAGAGACATATCAGGTCCGATTAAAGTGAATTTCTTGAACGACACCGGATCCTTAACAAGTTAGACCATGATAGCCTCATACTAAACATGAAGGGGTCTTCGTAAAAGCCCATCTCTAGTTCACCTTTTCTTACCTGATAATATATGGACTAGTAATCATAAATGAAAAATGTTGATCAATATTGCTTCTCTTTTGATTTGAAAATTTGCTGTTCATCTTACAATTACATTAATTATCGTGGATGTTTATGTTTTAAGAATATGTGAAAAGCTTGTTAATTAATCTTATTATCACTCAAGGGCCAGCGTCCGAGGCTTATGAGACACTTCGTTTTATGTACATATTTACTCAAATTTCACAATCCAATGTTTTGTGAAATATGTAACATTAAATGTTATTCTATTACTTTTGAATTGTAGTACAATTTTAATATATATTTTTTACCTCTATTCATGTCATCAAGCAGCTGGGCCACTGCTTCCGCGTTCTGAGCCATATCAATATACAATTGCAGCCAGTTAATGGCAATTATCATTTATTGAATGTTCACGCAAATATGTCTGTTTTTAACAAGAAGGTAGTATTTATACCCTTTAAAAAATACATGATACTTAATTTATCCGTACTAAACAGTGTTGGACCGTACCATTCCGTACCGTTTCGTGTTGCAACGCAATAAACCGTATAAGACCGTGCTTATCCTTGCCTCTCCGTAGTACATCGTATTACGACCGTGGCTTTCCGTGACAATGCCGTATTAATCCGTATTAAAACCGTAGCTTATACGTAGGGTTATCGTACAAATACGTAGTTATCCGTACCAAACCGTGGAAATCCTTGACAAGTTGGGGCCTACGAATCAGTACGGACTAACTACGGTTTTCTTACGGACCAGTACGTATCAGTACGGTTTAATACGGACTAGTAGGGATACGCTACGGTTGATTTTTCCGTAGCAAATTTTTGTGCATGTTCAAAAATTGTCAAGGATCGCTACGGATATAGCAGGACTACTACGAATGATTACGGTTACAATACGGAGAGCCACTGACCAGTACGGGTAGCTACGGACGATGCCGGAATTAATCCGTGGCTCTTCCGTGGGCGTTTTCCGTGAATATGTGACCGGGGTATAAAGTGCTAAATGTGAGAAACACTTAAAATATGATGAACAAGATCGACAAGGAAAGGCGGCGTTCAATGAACGCAGCCCCCACCCGACCCAGCAACAAGCGCCATCGGTAAGAAGCCCAGGAGGACCCCAAAGAAAAACAGGACAGGGCATAAAAGTTGAGAGAGAACTGTCCTACGAATCATTGAAGTTCAAGTCTTTACTATTTTTTGTTTTTGTTTCAATGATAGCTTTATGCTTTGTGATTTTTCTACTGAGTTGTTGAATTTTCACTTTTCACTTTTGTCAATTTTTTTGTTACTTTTGTAAGCTCATTGTCTAGATATTACTTTCAAATATTTGAATTTTCCGGCTAAGGCTTGACATTGTTTTCATATGGATGTTTCAGCATTCAGGTGAACATGGAACTAGAAAATGGCAACTAGCAGAAGAAAATTTTGACTATTAAAGTGGAGAAATAACTATTTTTAGCTTTCAGAATTTACGCAAGTAATATGTCACTACAATACAAGGATGGTTGCACAGTTATACAAGGAAGTTGTCACTGTTATACAAGGAAGATACGAAGATGTCACTGTTATACAAGTATTATGTCACTACAATACAAGGATGGTTGCACAGTTATACAAGGATGATGTCACTGTTATACAAGAAAGTTGTCACTGTTATACAAGGATGATGTCACTGTAATGCAAGGATGATGTCACTGTTATACAAGAAAAGTTGTCACTGTAATACAAGGATGATGTCACTGTTATACAAGAAAGTTGTCACTGTTATACAAGGAAGTTGTCACTGTAATACAAGGATGATGCCACTGTCATACAAGAAAGTTGTCACTGTTTTACAAGGAAGATGTCACTGTTATACAATTATGGTGTCACTGTTATATAAAGATTATGTCACTGTTATATGATGAAGATGTCACTGTTATACAAGCACAATATCACTGATATATTTAAGTTTTCCATGTTGAAATTAGGGATGCAGATACTTTTATGAGTATTTTTATTTATGATACCTGAGTGTATGTTATATGTTCAGTAAAATTGCATTAAGTAGTGATATGATGGCTGTGGTCAAAGTTGAATGGTGCGTTTGAACATCTCTGTGGTGATATATACATTTTAGCTTGTTAAAATCTGTTATGCTCATAATCTTTTTATGTCAAAAGGATAAAAAAGTAGAATGACTTACAATGCAATAATTGTTTTTTGTTTTGTTTTTGTTTTTGGTTTTTCATAAAGCTGTTATTGTTAACTGGTCATCATGTTGTGTTGTTATGTGAATAATGTCCAGGTGGTTTGTGGAATTGTTTTTTTTTTGTTGGAACTGTGTTACTGTGTGTTGTTGTGGCATGTTGAGTTGTGGATTTCTTTGAAACACTGAAAGAACATACGGGTACATTTTCTCCTGACTTGATCATTATTTACAATTCGATTCTTTGTTGTTCAGCCCGTAAGGAAACAACATTCAACAGATGTGGCAGTGGAAGATATACACCCTCTGACTTAGACCAAGGGTGGACCAGGGCAAATTCATGTAAGCTAGACTGGCATAGACGTAGCTGGACAATAATTACATGTCAAACCCTTGTGCTTTCAAATGATCACCTTTCTGAATGAAGAATCTCACCGCTGTAAATAGAGGTGGTTTTTGGGCAGAGAAACTCTCCATTATTTAAGATTGATTCAAGTAACCACTCCAAATAAAAGACCAATTGTCCATAAAAGGAAAACATTCAGTGTTCGTAGTCTCACAGTGGGCCTTGTTCAGCGAGTTGTACTTGTATACTATTCTCAACAGAACTGATTATAAATTAGATAGCAAAATAAGATCAGTTGAAATGTCGAAAACAATATATGTGAATAAGTATTATTATTACAAATAGAATTTAGATATATTTCTTAATATATCATTTTACTGTACTTCCATAACTTATTAATTTAAAAATCATGAAGACACTTTATGAAAGGTTTGTTGACTTTCTTATAATTACATAATCACTCCCAAAAGGAGGAAGAATATATAGTGACTACCTTGTCTGTCTGTCTGTCTGTCTCAGTCTTGTAGGAGTATAACCACACAATGACAGAGACTATTGAGAGAAAGTGCTTTGTCGCATAAGAAACATAACTCTATCTTGCTTTATTCTTATGACCTCAGGAGTTAATGCAGCTTGTCTGCGGAATAACATCTAATCTTTTATTGATCTCTCATTGATGTTTCCACACTGTGTCTCCTTTAAGTTTATAATACAAATATGCTTATTCAGAGAAGAACTTAGTATTGAAGAAATTTTATTTAAACTTGACACAGTGTTAGAGACCACAGAATGAAAGTGCAGTGTCTGAGTATCATAATTCTACCTTGATCAAGTTTTTAATTACCTCCCTACATTTTGTAAAAATGATGCTTGTTTTAAGTAAAACATCTTGATTATCAATGCTATCTTATTGAAACCACACTGTTATGAAAACTAGTGAGAGAAAGTGCAATGATGATGATCAAAAAAATATAACTCTACATTACTTATTGTTTAATTATCTCCCTTTATTACATATAACTTATTGTTATTAGTCATCTCCCTTTATTACATATTACTTATTTTTTTATTGTCTCCCTTTATTACATTTGAAAATGTTAAAATGATAAAATTTTATGTTTCAGATTATTATAGATGAGGATGTTGGCATACAGGAAGGGTTTACACGTCTAGCACCAGGGGCTGGTATTGCGGTGGAACGAGCATGGTTGTATCGTGTGGCATCAGGGGTAGGAGTAATAACATCAAGTTCACCTGGAGAATATGAAATCATAAAACGTATGATAGATGGGTTTTATGAACCGTGGGAACTTGGCATTAAAGGAGGGACAGAAAAATTCGAGGGAACAGTTCTCTATGAATCGTTGAAGTGTGAGTAGTGTTTCATTTTTAGATTTATTCTTTGTGTTAAATTAACAGACTTTTTTTATATTTCTGCTATCAATGTAAATGATTCAGAAATCTGGAAAAATTCTGCAGGATTGTTCTTAGTTTAAATAAGGTCTAGTATTTCATACAAATTTAGCAGCCTAAAGACATCAAGAACTTCATTAATTTTTGTTGTTACTTACTCAGGTAAGCTTATTTTTTAAATCTTTGAATTTTAATTATTTCAGGTTACGCTCAGCATTGTTTTCATATGGGTGTATCATCATTCAGACGAGCATGGAACCAGAAAATGGCAACTAGTAGAAGAACCTTACAACGATTAAAATTGAGAAAAAACATCCAAGCTTAGTGAAATTGATGTCACAGTTAGACAATTGTGATGCCATAGTAACTGCTATACAAGGACAACGTCACTGTTAAGGGAAAGATGGTGTCACTGTTACACAAGGAAGGTGTCACTGTTACACAAGGGATTGTGTCACTGTTATACAAGAATGGTGTCACTGTTGTATAAAGGATGATGTCACTGTTATACAAGGAAGGTGTCACTGTTACACAAGGATAGTGTCACTGTTATACAAGAATGGTGTCACTGTTACACAAGGATAGTGTCACTGTTACACAAGGAAGGTGTCACTGTTACACAAGGATGGTGTCACTGTTATACAAGGATGGTGTCACTGTTATACAAGGATGGTGTCACTGTTATACAAGAATGGTGTCACTGTTACACAATGATGGTGTCACTGTTATACAAGAATGGTGTCACTGTTATACAATGATGGTGTCACTGTTATACAAGAATGATGTCACTGTTATACAATGATGGTGTCACTGTTACACAAGAATGATGTCACTGTTATACAAGGAAGGTGTCACTGTTACACAAGGATGATGTCACTGTTATACAAGGATGGTGTTACTGTTGTATAAAGATGATGTTACTGTTATATAATAGTAGCTGTAACAATAACAAGTGACATTAGTTTTATAATACAGGGGTTTTGTATAACAGTGATTTCTACAACAATATAAAGTTTTTTTATTTGAAGACTGACATAGTAACTTATATCATTACGATAATCCTTACTGTACAAACCATATTGTGACTTGATTACACAGACAGGAGTTTTATTCTGTTGTGAATTTGTAAGAACGTAAACCTTGTTGTATTTCTATTGACATGCATGGATACAGAGTTGTATTTTTAAAGGGAAACACAGACATGACCCCAATTTTTGTGACCCCTCTTATAAAAACCCCAAAATTTAATATGCTCCTGTGTTTATATTGTAAATTAGTTGCCATAGATAGTTATGTTTATTCGTTCAGTTAGTTAGCATACAATAAAGTTTTGAAAACAGTACTTGTTGATGTGTTAATAATTTTAAAATGATTTATGAAATATATGAACATTATCGCATGTTTTTAACCAAGCCTATGTTATATCATGTTTAGTTTTGTTTTAAAGGTTGCAATACTATATTATATAATAAACTGTATTATTTAGATAGTTTACAAATGACTTTCTAATTATGATAATATCTTTCTGTTACAGGTTTAGAACAGTTTGTTATGGTTGAAGATCCGATGACGACTACACCATCAAAACAACGTGTGACATGTGACGTTTGCTTGAAGACGTTTAAAGATAATGGGACATTAAATCGGCACAAGAAAATTCACAGCGATGAAAAGCCATTTCAGTGTCAGATTTGTTACCGGCGTTTTATACGTAAAGATTATCTTGCTAGTCACATGGTTACACATGCCAAGTTTTGATTGGATATCATGGAATAAGATTCATTGTGATAAACTATCTTTCCTAGAAATGTTTGATTAATTTTTTTTTAACTTGATTATATGATTTGGAATTATGGATTTACTATTAAACTTCTGTGAGGGATAGAGAAAATGTACGTTAGATGAATGTATTTATCAGAAGGTGCTCAGAAAAGTTTTTGAAAAATACCTTAATTTTGTATATAATCAGTATATATAATACTTTTTATGAATGAATAATACATGTATAATTATGTCATGTATTGTTATACTTTTAATGGCAAATTTGCTTTTAAATATTTAAACTATTCATATAAACAGACGCATAGATTATGTTATGGAAAATAAAGTATTCCTGTTACATTCTATACCCCCACCCCCCTCTCTTTCTGTATTGAGCCTGGTATAGCCAATAAAATCTGTTATAAATAATCTTCTGGTATATTATATTTAAAGATAATAGTTCTGTTAGCTAAAACCATGACCTTTCAAATAAATTAATCTTGGACTGCAATTAAACCAAAATGTGAATTGAAATAATTTTTATGCTCTCCATATAGTAAGACAGTTAGACAAACTTTATTTATAGTTGGTTAGGGTTAACAGTATTAAACATTCAGCTTTAAGCTTGTATCCGACATGAACAAAAAATAAAAAAATATTATTATATAAGAAACAAAATCAAACAACTGTTATGATAATAAAACATACATTATACAGCATTTTAGTGTTTGAAATTATTTTTTTGTCCAATAGGATTGCAGTGAAATTTTCAAAATGCATGCATGAAAACACAAAATATACATGTATAACATTACAAAAAAGCACAATGTATACTCAAAATGCAATACAATTATTCAAAACAAAATACATGTCCATACATTCGTTACATTTCTCTTAATATATGCTAGAGCTACATACTTATGTGAAATTCCGCTTGGAATTTTCCAACAGTTTCAGATTTACTAATCGAAATGGCAACATTATTCCATAGTTTGGGCCCGAGTAAGTCAAAGATTTTCTAAAAATTTCTTTTTTAAGTTAAGGTAAAAATAAGATTGACAAGGGCTATTTAAGAGATCTAACTTGGAAATGTAATGGTTAGACATTATAACACACACCATTTAACAATACAATGTAGAACACTGAAAACAGAATATAAATTTTGACCAGTTAATTAACTGGTATAGAAATATAAGTTAAGATAATTGTATGTTATTACAGGTCCATGTTGGGAATGGAGACTCGTATAATTATATCCTTTAGTGTGAATTCCCTATATCGTAGGTAAATACATATACCTATTGATTTCAATCATTGCAATAGAGAAAATAAAAATCCCAAAAGAAAGCCTGTTCATGGACGGTACTGGAAAGTGTAACATACCATCCAGGCCCCCCCCCCCCCCCCCCCTAGCATCGGCTTTAAGAAGGATTCAACATTTAATGTGTAAAAAAGTTAGTGTATCAATGGAAAGATGATTATTTATTATTGGAAACTGTTCTATTAAATTCTAGCATGTGTTAAATAGAATATTACATTTATATAGCTTCATTACTAAATTTTCTGAACATAGTAAATAATTGATGTCAAACCTACACTCATTCAATGTACTATTTATTAAGAGGTCTGGAAACAATGAGAAGTGGAAGTGTGATATTTTAATTTTTATTGTTAAACAAAATATTAAGGTGTTGATCTTTTGCGAATGTTTTTGCTTGTTGTTTTTATCCTGTAAAAAAAAAAATAAGAATTAGATATAGTGTGGAGATAATGTTGTTATACTGGGCATGTTTTATACACAAAAAAAATGAAAATATTTCTATTATATGAAATAATAAAGAAAATAAAGATTTAAGTCATAGATTATTAAGATAGTGTAAAATCAAATCTTATACAGATAATTAAACTTTCTTCAATTTTGTATATTAACAGATGATGTAGCTGATATTGAAGGGTTTAAAATGGCAGCAGCACTAAATCCCTCAACACAAGACGAGTTGATGTGCGATATTTGCTTTCACATATTTCCAGACTGGCACACACTACAGCGACATAGACTGGTACATTCTGGGGACAAAATGTCGTACAAAACCGGGAGTAGGTCAAGAAGAACACGTTGCAGGAATTTCCAATGCGAGCTCTGTCCGAAAATGTTCACTGACAGATGGAATCTACAACAACATCAACGCGTACATACTGGAGAAAGACCGTACGCCTGTGAGAAATGTGGCCGGAAATTTGCTAAGAAGTATAACATGCAGTCACATATGGCGATTCATTTTACTGACATATGACATATTGTCAATCAAATACAATCATCATAATAGGTGAAATTATTAAATGAACAGAGTTATTTGAATACATAATAATTATGTGACATTAAATGTACAGTGTTAATTGAATACAAAACAAGCCGTGGAATTTATCTTCAAAGCTTTTATCATATGCTCTATATTGTGTTTTATTCTGATTTTAAAACATAGAAACAGTTACTATGATGTATATTATGTCAAGAATGTATATTTGATCTATGATTGATAAATTCTTGTTCTCAAATTGTACTATCATATCATTTGATACAGCATAAATGTGAAAACTTAAAATTGAAAAAAAGGCAACACAGTAAAATTACCATGAACACAGCAAAAATATTTTGTCAAAGATTGTAAATATGTCAGTAAACAACACTTATTGAATTTAATGGAAGACTTTAAACAACAACCAAATTGCACATAAAATCAAAGCACTGAATGTACTGATGGGGAGGCTATGAGAGAATGTTTCAGACTTATAGTTTCTTTTCTTTTTGCTTAAAATATGCTACCAAAATAAAAAGATATGCACATTGCGCTATTTATCCTTACTGTTGTGTTCAACCATTCATATATAT